GATGGTTGTGGTTCCGACTATCTGTAGACGGTGGCTGGGATCAGCTAATGTGGCTGCGTCCTCCGTGTACTTCTGGATCTTGTGGACAAACTCGCGTCGGATGAAATTGTGTGTCGATCCTGTGTCGAGTAGGGCGGCTAGCTCTTTATTGTTGGTCGTCAGCGTTATAGTCGGAAGACCTCCATCGTTTGCGGTTTGAATTAATTGGATGGCCGGGTGTTTGACCTGGCCACTGATCCGTTTCCCTGGTCCTGTTGTCGTGTTAGCTAGGACGGGGCAGTCCCGGTGGAAGTGATACTGAGGGCAGTAACGGCATTTAGGTACGTTCGGTGGGCGTTGTGTGTTGCTGGTAGTATCGACGGCGGCTGGTCGACTGCGGCTCCTTACGTCCTCTTCAATCTCGGTGGCCAGTTGTACTAGGTCCAGCATCGTCTCGGGCATGTGACATCGAAGGTGGCAGCGTATGTCCGAATGTAGCAGATCGCGGACTAAGTGTTAGGTGGTCGTGCATCGAGATGTTGAGCCTCCTTGCGATGCGGACTTTTCGTTGTAGGAAGGTGTTGCACGATTCTGTCCTCTGCTCTCGGGCGAAAAATTCGGCGTGCAGCTTCCCGGTTTGTCTGCGATCGTCGAACTTTTTCAGGAACTGGGTCTTTAGTTCGGTGTAGTCAGTGATGAAGGGCTCGACGGTGATCCACCATTTCGCTGCGTCCCCGGTGAGACTTTTTGTAGCTGCCTGTAGGAGGTTCAGGTCCCCTTTTGTGCTTGCTGTTTCCTCGATTTTCTGAAGGAACGGCTTTGGGTCGTCCAGGAGATCTCCGCTGTATGTCGGCAGGCCCTTTTGTTCGGGGAGCAGTTGTCGTAGGGCTTTAGGCATTGTGATTACTGAAACAAATTTCCATATGTTAGTGTCAATCAAATAAATAGACAAACAGTATATATGTTACCGCAAACTGCGAAATCCGGCATTTTGCGAAATGACCAATGCAACAGGCAAAGTGAGAAATGGAACTCGACTTCGCACTTCGCCTGCCTGAGAATTCTCGGTTATTTTCCACAGATTGCGCGTACAGCCGTGCCAAACGTAAAACTGTCGCGTTAGTACCTTCCCCCATTTGATATATTCTCACAGTAAATTCAAAGCGTGACTCAACAGAAAACCCATAGAAGAAATGCAGTCTAAACGTGAGCGCAATATTTAACGAGTACTTAAATAACATCGCAATCGTACGCGTCGTTTACCATTCAATGGCAACGCTGTATACGCATTCTGTGGGAAATGACGAAGTCTTCGCACTTTGCCTGCATGTTTAGGCATTTCGCGAAATCCCTAAAGAGAGACAGGCAAAGTGCGAACTGCAGCTCCGTTTCTTACTTTGCCTGTTGCACTCGTCATTTCGCGAAATGCCTAGGCATTTTGCAAAATGCCGGGTTTCGCAGTTTGCCGGTAACATATACATGGAAATCACAATTTAAGGAATCTAACTTACAGAAATACAATCGTCGATAAACGAACGCATTTCACTTTAGTGGTATGTTAATGACTGCATACTGAGTAAAGCCGGCTATTCACTAAGCGGTACTTGGCAAGTGCCTAGTAGTGTGTATGAAAATGACTTGAAACTTGTCGCACTACTTGTACTTGCCAACCGCAGTCGGTAAATATCCCAAAGTCAAAGGTTCTGAAGTAGGGAGCGCGGAAAGTTTTTCAGTCGCGCTACATTACTTGCCGAGGTAACAGTGTAAAAGTGATGATGGAGTGGTCAAATGAGGTAACTTTTGAATTTTTGGATCTCTATGAAAGAGAAGCAGTTATTTGGGACCCTTCCCACGCACAACATAAAAACCGTAATGACGTTTACGACGCGTGGAAGCGAATACAGACAGAATTTTCTGCACAAATTTCTATTACGGATTTGAAGAAGAAAAAGGATTCCCTGATGGCCACTTTTAGAAACTGCTTAAACAAAGTTAAACAAAGCGAAAAAAGTGGCGCCGGTACTGACGACTTATATAAACCTGCTTGGTTTGCGTTTTCAAGGATGGCTAAGTTTTTGAGTCATCATACTCCTAGAAATACGATAAACTCCCAAGTAAGTAATACTTGTTTTTTATTTTATTATTTGTGTTTAATTTCAGTACATTAGCAATAATTATCCTGCCAAGAAAGTTTACCCTTATTCATAAAGTATTCAGAAAACTCTTCTCTGAGGTTTCTTGCGTCCATACTTGAATTTCTTGGTATTTTTTGTAGAGGTAAAAGGGAAGTCATATTGTCTTGATCTTTGCGCCATGTTCCCGGAAGTAATTGACCATCTACTATAGTTCGCGTCAACCAGAGCCATCAATACTATGCTGAAGAAATTTTTGTAGTTGTAAAATTGGGAACCACTATTAATTGGTGATTGCATCATAATGTGCTTTCCGTCTAGGGAACCCAAACAGTGTGGAAAATTCCATAACTTCTCGTAACCGTTTGCCACGTGTTCCCATTCTTCTGAATTGGTAGGAATCTGTAACAAGATAATTATTCTTTTGTACGAACTAATTTTTTTTTTATCTTTATGTCGGTGCTCACCTCAAATATTAACATTTTTTTTTTCAATTCGTGTAGTTTTTGGAGCTCATATTTTGGATTGTATAATATAAACTTTATAGACGTTGTCTTTCCAAAAACGTTTTATTGTTCTTTAACTGACTGAAAGAACAATTAATCATTTTTGGAAAGACAATGTCTATAAAGTTTTTTTTTTCAGAATATAGACTTAGAAAGTAACAATGAAAGTCAACTTGAAACACAGTCCGATGATATTTCCAACGTAGCAGTGCGCTCTGCAGGTATTAATGAAATTATTACAATAACCTTTTCTACTTATATATTTTTTAGAACCAAGCACATATTCAATGAAACGTAGGGTACCTTTAGATCGATCCACTACCAAGATGACCAAAGTAACACAGGAAGTAATCTATGACAAAATGGAAAAGGCGTATGATATATTACAAAAAAAGTCACAACAAAAGGACAAGGATGAATGACATATTTGGAGAGGTACTGGCAAAAAGGCTTCGAACAATGGAACAATCTGAAAGAGACAATATAATGCATGAAATAGAGAATGTTATGTACCAAGCAAAAAGACGTTCTTATCAGCATGCATTCTCACAGCCACTTCAGCAGGATTCTACGAATTCACACTTCATACCACTTACACAGTCAAACAGATTTACAATAATACCAAGCCACGTTACTCCACATCTGACTGTTACACCGTCACCTCCACTTTCTCAGTCGTATTCGAATCCACAATCACTTACTTCTGTTTCAAATTCTGGCGTCGAAAGTGTACAAGATTTTGAGCAAGAACACCATACTGTTGCCTTACCTCCACCTTCTCAACCTTGTTATTCGAATCCATCATCACTTAGGGTACGGTCGAAAATTTACTGACAGTATTGTGTGTGCAATCGAAGTAAAGTAAATGAAGTAAAGCGGTCTAAAATTATTTTTTACTCTCAGTAAAATAAGTTTTCGACCGTTGTGTGAGTAACATGAGTAAAAGATGACGTAACCACATAACCGCACTGATTGTGACATAACCTAAGACTTCAAACGAAAAATCATGACCAATATAAGTATAAACGATACTGTTGCAATTTATCAACTACTACAAGAAATTTTTGATAGTAGCAGTTCGGAGGAAGAAGAATTTTTTGCAGTTGTTACTCCGAAGAAGAAGGTACCTTTAGCACGAATAAATAATTATGTGGAGAATGTTGTGCATTTATACTCCAATGATCAATTCCAATCACATTTTAGGTATATAATATTATTAGGTTATGTTAATATTTGTACATATACCTATTTCAGACTGCAGCGAAACACCTTTGAATTTATTTTAAACATAATTGGCCCTGAAATTAGCAAACATGTTGTTTCTCCTGGTCGACCCAGTATATCAGCTGAGAAGCAACTATTGATTGCCTTGTGGATTCTTGGCACACCTGATTCTTATCGGTACGTATATACATTAGTGTAGGTGATGTGTAACTGTATACATGTAGGTCTGTCTGTGATCGCTTTGGCGTAGGTAAAGCCACAGGAGTTATGGCTGTACGTAAAGTGGTCGAGGTGTTATATAGTAAGGTAAAGGTGTTCATCAAGTGGCCAAGAATTGCAAGAATGCAAGAGAGTGCTCGCGCTTTTAAAGTTGTTGCTGGGTTCCCAAATGTTATTGGAGCTATCGATGGGACCCATATTTCGATTACTGCCCCTACTGAACATCCTGAGGCCTACGTTAACAGAAAGGGAATACATTCCATACAATTGCAGGTTTTGTAATATGCATTTGTGATATATATATATTTACATATAATTGATTACAGGTTGTTAGTGATGAAAAAGGGAAGTTCATACACTGTTACACTGGACACCCAGGATCGGTCCACGACCAGAGGGTTTTTGCAAGTTCAGAGGTGTCACATTTTTTAAATGACTCTGAAAAATTTCCAAATGACTATCATTTGTTGGGAGACGCAGCGTACGCTATCCGTAAGAATTTAATGGTTCCGTACAAAGATAATGGCCACTTAACTGAAAGACAACATAATTACAACAAGTGCCATTCAAGCACACGAATGGCTGTTGAAAGGGCCATTGGTCTCTTAAAGGGTCGTATGAGACGCTTGCTTGATAATTTGCCCATGACGAGAGGCGACTTAATTCCAAAGTATATTGTAGCATGCTGCATTATACATAATATATGTTTATTGCGACAAGATCAATTTACACCTATAGCGATTGACTTGCATCGTGTACCTGAGGTGGTTGTACCACTACCACATAATGTGCAAGCTGATGACAGAAACGTTGCCATAGCATGTCAGAAAAGAAACTTAACTGCCGAAGAACTTCCTTTACAAGAGGAATTTTAATTTCTTAATAGATTGTTATCATTATTTTATAAACAAATACATAACTTACATTATATTAAAACAAAACTAATGTATATTTTTTTATACTATAATACACTATTGCAACTTACATTATGATGATATTAAAATCAATCAGGATTTTTTTTTACACTATCTACTAAGCTTCTTAATAACTCCATTGCCTCTGATCGTTGTGACATTCGTTCATCGTGATGCCTCTGGCGATCCTCTCGAATTTTTGCTAGAAGATCAACCACCCTCTTGGATTTGACGTCTAAAAAGTATTACATCTTAAAACTTTTAATTTATATGCAATAGGTGCTTACTTTGTGGTAGAGGTGATTGTACAGGTTCTGGTGTAGAAAATGATGTACTTTGGAATACATTTTCTTTACCACCATCTGAAGACGCTGTTGCAACTGGTTCTACCCAAGGTTTATTGCTGAATAATTCATCCATTTTCTACAAGTTTATATTTACAAAGAGGTGCTTATTATAACATCACTTTACCTCTGTATAAATCCATTCCCTGCGTTCGTTACCTGAAGCGTTATTGTGGTCTTTTATTTTTTTATACTGTCGCTTCAGTGTCGCTAGTTTGGTGCGACATTGTGTCCCACTTACTTTATATCCATGGGAATTTATTATTCTAGCAATATCGTCCCAAAATGGTTTTGGCTTCACTTTTCCCCTTAAAAGCTGGTCACATTTCTCATAATATGTATCTAATAATAATAGAATAGCTTCGTGTGGCCAGCGGCCTAAATATTCTGAAATATATGTTTTAAATACTTAAATATGTATTGCACCTTACCTTCACTATTGTCAGAATTATCGCTTAGCGGTGACAATGGCTGATTTTCATCGTTTGGTAGCTCTTGATTTTCGTCAACTACATTAGGAGTTGGGTTAATAGAAGTACCAGGTTGACAAATATTAACCACATTTGGAGAAGCACTCGGGGTTTTGTTTACCTTTTGGTTGCAGATAGCATGCCTCAACAATGCTGAAGCAAATGTTAAATCTAAAACAAATTAAGAAATTTTAGTGTTCATTATACTTTTTCAACATCACCATTAAGAGCTCTTGCGTGGTCTTGAGAGCTAAGCAAAACCGTATATTCTTTATTTTCATTGTCTACTAAAATTAATTCCTTAACCTCCGTGCTCACCGCCATGTTTAAATGTCAAAATCAGCTGTTCACTCGTTTACTTCAGTTTTACTCACGTTTTACCACCTATTTTCCAGAAGCAATTTCAGTAAATTGAGTAAGACCAGGCGCATGCGCAGTCGCAATAATTATTGCTACTGAAGTAAACCAGTAGTAAACGAAGTAAATTTATAACCGCATATTTGTGCAATTGCAGTATTCATAGCAATCTGAGTAAATTTTCGACCGCACCCTTAGTTATATCACTGATTGTGGATATGTGCCAAATCGTGCAAATAACGATGCAAGAAAATTGGAGAATCGTTTTGAATAAACGACGTTATCCGTAAGAATATTTTTAGTTATTCAACATGTCATTAAACTTTTACGTTTTATTTTTGTAAAATCTACTTTAGTTTGCATTTTCTAGTAAGTATATTTGTTGTCAGTATCGATGTTAAATAAATATATACTTTACTTTACCTTAATTAAATGTTCCAGTTCAGCAATTATAGCTTTGCATACTTCTGGCACAATTCGAGATATTAGTTGAGGAGACACTTTAAATAGATAATGGAGACTTTGATAACTGTCGCCCGTAGCTAAGAACCGCAAAGTTATTGCTAACCGTTCTTTTGCTGGAACAGCTGCTCGTAATTGACTATCTTTTTTTTTAATGTATGGTTCGATTTTATTAAGCAAATATTCGAAGTCTTCCAACGACATCCGACAAAAGTTTTCAAATAAGGTAGAAGGTTCCTTTAAAAAATCGGCCATCATGTCCACACTACAGTTAAATCATGGAGATAAATCTTCGCCCTCCTACCCTTTCGGGCTTAAGGCGCCACCACCCCCTCGCTAGGAAACCACGGTCAAGGGAACCCACATCCAACCGACCGCCAGCACCAAAATCAGCGGGGAAATCCCTCTTTTATTTAGAACAACTTCCAAAGACTGGTTGTTACTGCAAAATTCGTTAATCGGGATAAGTTATTTTGTTGAAGAAGTGTAATGCATTTTTTTTTTTTTTTGAGTTGGATCCATCGTTCCTCGAAATGGGGGTTGAACTATATTATGTTATCAAAAATCTCTAAACCTTCCCCATATAGTTTTATTCGTTGAAGTTTTTTAAAAATAACAGCGACTATAGTTTCGGCGTACTGCCATCATCAGGCGATGTGAAAGTTAACAGGAAAACGGTAAATTACAAACGTTGAAGACGAATAAGACGAACATGTTGTTTTTTTATTAATTATTAACTGGCCGAAGCCAAGTGAAAAAACCTGAAGGGTGGTTAAAACGGAAAGGTTGTCCTAAGTTTCAAGACGAATTATTATCAAGCCTTGTTAAGACAACCAACCGGAGGGTTGAATTTTTACATTAAAGGTTGAAAGTTGGATTAACACATTTCAAAAGAACGGGGGGAAAAAATAAACTTATAAAAGTATTGAAACTATTATTGTCAATCATTTCGAGACATGCCGTCTGCATGATCTCGAATTTAAACTTTACTTAAATAATTTATGTAGTCATCTTAATAGTTTCAATACTTTTATAAGTTTATTTTTTCCCCCCGTTCTTTTGAAATGTGTTAATCCAACTTTCAACCTTTAATGTAAAAATTCAACCCTCCGGTTGGTTGTCTTAACAAGGCTTGATAATAATTCGTCTTGAAACTTAGGACAACCTTTCCGTTTTAACCACCCTTCAGGTTTTTTCACTTGGCTTCGGCCAGTTAATAATTAAAAAAACAACATGTTCGTCTTATTCGTCTTCAACGTTTGTAATTTACCGTTTTCCTGTTAACTTTCACATCGCCTGATGATGGCAGTACGCCGAAACTATAGTCGCTGTTATTTTTAAAAAACTTCAACGAATAAAACTATATGGGGAAGGTTTAGAGATTTTTGATAACATAATAAAGTGTAATGCAGTTAATGTGTATATATTGTTACTTATCCCGTCTAGGCTTGGATACGTTATTTTCTTTTGTAAATATCATATGCTCTTTACGTCTTTTCGCCAAAGTAGTGTAAGACCTGTATTCATTATGTGAGATAAAATTTGTAATATAATGGTGAAATTAAAATGAAACATAAAAGTATTTTTACTACACAAGTTAAAATCGTATTATAAAAGCGGGACAAAACATACATGTTAAAAAGGTTGTAAAGGGACCGTCTATTTACAGTTTTGGGAAACACTTTATTTGGGGGGAAGGGGGGAATGCAGATTGTGAAATATACCTTACCTAATCGTCTTCGTCCTCCGTTGGAACTATGAGCTCCTTAAAGAACGTTTCTAATGTTATAACCTCCGGGTGTTTAATTTCACCTAGGTTTAGTGTAGTCAGCTCTAGTTGGGAGAGTTGTAACTTAGTTTGGGCTACCTGTCTCGCATTGGTACGCTGTGGGTAGGGGCAATGGTAGAATGTGTGCTCGGGGGAAGATTCCTCTCCGCATGCACATCGTACGCTGTGTCTGTCTTTTGAGCTTGAATTTATTAAAGGAGTGGCTGTATGGGCCGTGCCCTGTAATCGCCCATATCGTCTCCCTACTCCACCATGTGGTGGTTTTAGGTACCTGCGGCACAATCGCGTGTGTAAAACGCCCCTTTGTGGTCTCATCCCAAACTTTTTGCCATTGAGCTAACATGTCGTTTCGCGCTTTAGTCTTAAGGTAAGATTTCGGTATTTGCACTGCAACCTCGGTATTGGTATTGCCGTTTCGCGCCGCCCTATCCGCGGCTTTGCTTCCCTCTTACCGCGTGTCTTTACTTTCCCATTTTATGCACACTTTAGTGCCGGAGTCCCATAGATTTGTGGGGCTTTTGTGCGCTACGTTTATCTGGCCCGTACCGGCTTTGAATACATTAACGGAGTTTACAGCGCTCTGAGAGTCGCTGACCATTGCGCTGTCTCGAGGGTTGTCTAGAATGTATTCGAGTGCTAGGTGTATATATATATATATATATATATATATATATATTGTTTGTTATGCTCTCGCGCGCTTATCTCTCACACGCTCGCACTCGCTGGGATTTACTATACCTAAATTTTTTAACTTCTAAGATGTCTGCCACTATTAAAACTACACTTAATATCGTCTCACCAGGATATATTTTAAAGTAGTGACAAAAAAAGGAATTTTTTATGTATAATTTTTATACGGTCCTCATGGTTTAGTTCAGGGGTGTTTTTCCCTACATTGAGGGGCGTCTTTCGCTACCAACGCTGCACTTGAAATCATCTGCCATAGCATATTTGAAAACTATGGAAAAAATGAGATTTCTTGATACAAATCTTTTCCGTGACCCTTATAGTTTGGTAATTTAGTTGATCACCTAAAGAAGTCGCCTATTCAGCGCCGCCCCAAGTTAAAGCCTCAGTTACACGAGAATAGTACCTCGTGCGAGCCACTAAAACCGAGTGCTGTAAGTATCGTGTAAACAACCATTCCAGTACTGGTTTCTAGTACTCGTTCCAGCAAGTGTTCCAGTCGAGTGAATAGAAACAGTTTCTATTTAGTAGAACGAGTTGCCCCCTCTACTTTACTATCTTCCATTACTTCCCTCGTGTAACATAGTGTTTCTAGTGAAAAAGATTGATTGCTTATTGTGCAACATGGGATCTAAATGGACGGAAGATACTAGTGTTAAATTTGTTGAACTATATCGTGAGCACGAATGCCTATGGAACACAAACTTGCCGATCTAAAGAAAATAATTGAAGCAATGAATATTGAAGGTTTTGGTGCTGCAGATGCAAAAAATAAGATAAAAAACTTACGGTCCAGCAATTTGCAGGAAGTTGCAAAAAAAAAGGCAACCCGTTCTGGAATGGGCGCAGACGACATGTATACGCCTAAATTGAAGTGGTTCATAATAATCCATTCGTTTTTGAAAAAAGTAAACATAAACAGAGATACACAGTCCAATTTGGTAAGTATAACTTTTGTTTTTATTACATTAATATTACAATATTTTGTGAACTCGCTATTAATTATAGTGTACATACGTTTAAAAAATCATTCGGTCTTGCCAAGAAACTGTCCCAGTAGTCATAAAATATTCAGCGTATCTGTCTCTCAAATTTCTTGCAAATTGTGACGAATGGTTACTTCCCAAGATTACAGGTTTTTTTAAAGCAGATATTTCAGATCTCCAAAATCCAAGAACTATTTTACCTTGATTAATGTCCTCTTCGTCAACTGACCCTGTTGGTAAATATACATTTGCCGATGTAGTTCGAAGCCAGTTATGCAAGACACAACACGTCCGCACAATCTTGTCAATTGTGGAAATCTTACAAGATATTGGTTTTTCGAAAATTCTGAATCTACTGACCAAAATACCAAATGCGTTTTCCACAATTCTTCTCGCACGACTTAATCTATAATTGAATATTTTCTGTTTTGTGGTTAGTTCCGTTTTTGAAAATGGTTTTAATAAATAATGTTTGAGCGGAAATGCATCATCTCCAACAATGAATCCACCGTCTGGTAATATATTATTTTCCAATTGTTGATAAATAGAACACTGCGAAAAAACTCCCCCGTCAGACGCTTTTCCATTGCATCCAATATCAACGTAACGGAAACAATAATTACCATCTACAATCGCCAATAATATGATACTGTTTTGCCCTTTGTAATTATAGTATTCACTTCCAATGTTAGGAGGAGCACGAATAGGTATTGATGTGCTTCCCGTCAATTGCACCATAGCACCCTGGGAAATTCCATCTTGCGCTGAAGTCCCTTTCTATCGCCCTCCACTCCTCTTCTTTTTGAGGTACCTACGACAATAATGTTTTTAATTTTTTCTATTTTGTAGGAGACTAGACATGAACCTGGTTGAGCAGATCAACAAGGAGAAGAGTTTATTGAAACAGAACACGAAATTATAACTCGTAATACTACTGCAGAAGATACGCCAACGGCATCAAAACGTACAAAATTGGCAGCAAAGACCAAAGTGAAGGAGGTGTCTTCATGTATCCAAGAATTAAAAGTTCTAGCAAATACTCTAAAAGATGAAGACCAGAGGGAAACGAAAACAGAGGATGAATTTCAAATTTTTGGACAAAGTGTTGCCGCGCAACTTAAAAAACTGCCTATCGCTTCAAGGTATCTTAACTAGATACAGACTTACAAATATTGCCTTCTGGAACAAACAGTGAAATAGCCGGTCGAGAAACACGATATTGTTGTGCCCTCTTTAATGCGATTTTGTACAGGTTTAAATTTACCCGT